AACTATCAAATACATGAACCAGACACTCCAACTTCAGTAGTCTTCAGACCTTCACATAGACCTCAGTTATCTACAAGCACAACTGGCGATAATACTAATTACGAAATTCATCGTGGCCGTACCCGAGAACGCTCTGAATCAATTGCCGATTCCTTTCTTGCAGCATCATTTTCTAGTGGCTCCAATTACCGAGTACATCAACACTCTGATATAGATTCGAATTCATCAGTTGTCCATAGACCTCGAGCTCGAGCAGCAACCACTTCTTCCAGCGAACACGAAAATTACGTGTTCCACGAGGACCTTTCCAGATCCATATCTCTTTCGAGTGGTCAGGGCCCAGCACCTAAGTATTCTCAAGAATCTCTTCGTATTCCTGCCCTCAGAACAAAAAAGAGGTCGAACGACAATTTTGGGTACTACAAGTCAAGATCGCGAGAGACATTGAAATCGAGATCAAATCACTCGCTCCGAAGTGCAGCACACAGTCGAGCTAATTCACTAGCGTCGTTATCAACAATTCACACACAACCCGACGCACAACGAGCAATCGTGGCGAGCGGATCATTAGTTAATTTATCCGCTCACGCTCAACTGCAAAAGCCAAAAGGATTGAGTTCATGGGCAGAGTTGCCAAGCCCCACGAGTCCCCATATGATCGAGACTCCGCATCAATGGAGCTCACAGCTATCCACTGTGCTCTCCGTATCCGAGGGAACCGGCACCGAACGCGGTTCGCAAGCTTGGTCCGACAGCATGGGAAGAAGGAGTGTATTCGGTCTACCCAGTCGCGGCAGTCGCAATGTTCTCAGTATCAGTTCGTCACACGGAATCGAAGATGCCTTGTCAAGATCGAGAAGCGAATCTGTAGATCCCCCACGTCCGGCTTGGACACGCAGTGGTCGAGGTCTCAGCAGCTCGTCTATCCCTGTTATTGGTGATCAAGATGAATATGGTGACGGAATCACCGCCATGCAAGATCTGCGCACTCGTCCATCCAGAAATAGATTATCCGGCATGTTCAATGCTGGAGCATCTGATACTTCCCGTACACACACTATGCGCTCCTCAATAAGTACCCGCTCCAACAGTTTTCTCGCAAACTCAATCCCAACGTGGGCAAGACTTTACTATGGAAGTGGAGAGCGTCGCTATCTAGGCTACAGACCCGAGAGTTCCAGCGGCGGAACCCCAAGTCGCAATGGCTCATTCAGCTATGGAAGTGGTTCCCCCAATACAGAAAACTTCCCAGATGAATTATACAGTCCCCGTCGTCGTCCACGAGAAGGCCATCCACACATGCGAGGTTTCTCCCAACAATCTATGGAAATCACCCCTGTACCCACCGCAGCCCAAGGCAATGGCGCTCTCAGAACCTGGTCTCTCATTTCCAGCGTCTGGTCTCCACATCTCCGTACCGATCGCCGAGCCGCTCGTCAATCTCTCTGGGAACCCCCACAAATCAACTTTTCAACCGAGGGCGGTTTTTTCGGCCGTCGTAACATCCAAGTCGTTCTCTTCATCACTGGATTTCTCCTTCCTTTCACCTGGATGATCGCCGCTTTTCTCCCTCTCCCCACGAAGCCCGTCCAAGAGATGCGCGAACGCGAAGATAGTACCGGACACCTCACACAAGCGCGGGATCTAGAAAGTCGCGGCAACAATGATTATGTCAAGGAATTTGGCCCGTTGGATGAGGCACGTTATGAGAGTGCCAGGTGGTGGAGGAATCTGAATCGTTGGATGAGTGTGGTGGGATTATTGATTATTGCTGCTATTGTAAGTTTGACATGTCTATTTTTCAATCGGTGAATAGAAGGCTAATATATACCAGATCATCCTCGCTGTCATTGGTACCCGAGAGGGATGGTAATTCCATCCTAATTCCCAGCTTAATCATATTCACCTCCTTACTTCCTCCTTCGCTTTCCATTTTCCACCACCCTCACCTCACACCCCACATTCTCACCACGACACCCAAGACCCACGGCACACGACACACGGCATTGATATAACGACCCCTTGTATATTAGAGTAGAGCCCCTCTACCCCCTCTCTAATAATGATTCTTACGACCAAATAACGACTCTCACAACAAACAGATGGGTCTAGACTTTTCATTTTCACACTTTTTACTTTTTATTTTTAGCGCGCGCAGATGATATATTAGCATTATACCCTTTCTTTACGGAAAGAAAAAGCTTGCTTGCTTGCATGTATGTATGTATGTTGGATAATTTTTATTATTGATGATGGTTGGGAAAAGGAGGATGCATAGGAAGGAAAGGGATGACACAGGACCTGCCATGTGATGCGATGCGATGCGATGCGATGGCAAAGGCGATGATGGCGCTATATGTGCTTGCTTTGTATATACGGATGCAACGTTGGAATGCATGATTGATAGATAGAACAAGTTAAAGAAATTTTAATGTTCATGAAGAGCAAATTATCATTCAGATCATTTTGAAATAATATATGTATTGTGAATTTCTCGTATCGTGTACGTCGGGTATATATTTGTATTCATCATGCTACATCTAACCAATATACATCGCTAAGAACTCCCCAATTGAAATGCTCAAGAACGCTTTTGTACTCCTTCCATGTGTTTCTTCACTTCACTTCAACTCAACTTTCTTTCCCTTTCTCTTCCTCGCCTGAAGCTCCGCTTTTGCTTCTTCAATTGCCTCGTCAAGATCTCTTGATGGATCAGCCGGTAATCCAAGAACCGGTTCCTTGCCCCCTAGACTCTCCATACTGGCTGAATGTTTCAATCCCTTATCAGCCTTGCTAGTTCGCTCGCTTACCATCTTCATCAAATGCGATTTAGCAGGTGAAGCGAAGAAAGCAGTTGAAAGGGCAGTGCCGATAACAGCGTAGAAATAGACGCGTGACCAGACGAGGAAGGAAGCGGGGAGAGTAAGAAGTATGAAGGGAGCGACCGTGAATGAGAATGCAAGTTGAGTTGCTAGCCACGAGAAGACATCGTAGTAGAGTTTGTGTGATGTGGGTTGAGATGTTTTGGGGTCGATGAAGAAAGGACGGAAACAACGGCGGAAGTCTAAAGATGGTCAGTCATAGAATCAATCTAGAACTAGGGGAAGAAGACGTACTCTTTGCGACGGTTTGAATAAAACTGGCCAAAATGAAGGCAAGGTAATAGCCAGGGAAAAATCCGTGCCAGAAAGCACTGGTTACGAAAGTTGCCATGCTAGCTCTGAAACCAGGCTTCTTGCCTTTTGGAGTAACTCGAAGGTAAATATAGTTTCGGAGCCAATTATTCGTGTTCATATTCCAGTTTCCAAGATATGCGCGAGTATTTTGGGCTGTTTCAACTCCCCACGGGTCAACGTTGCAAAGCCTGTCCCAAGAGACTTTGCCAGTGACTGGATCGATACCTTTATACCCAAGACCTGAGAGGATACATGCACCCTCGGTCAATGCCCATACACCGTAATACTTCAATCTAGCAGTCATACCGACCATGTGAAGAACAAAGACACGGCGAGCAAACCCATAAGTCATGTATTCATCACCAGTCAAGAGATCAGGCCAATACCACGCAGATAGCTTCAAAAAAAGTAAGATCCAACCCAAGCCAGCAGCAGCTTTCCACATTGCAGGAGTGCCACTTCTTGGGATTTTTCTCAATTTTCGAGTTGGAGGTTTCTTTGAGGGATCAACACCAGCAGGCACTTCGAACATTGTGGTTTCAATCCACTGCTTATAGTCCACATAATCAAAAGCCGGACCTGCGAAGAGAGATGGAAAGAAGAGGACGTATCCAGCGTAATCGAGCAAGCTCGGTAGTTGTTTGATGGCCCGTTCCTTTTGATCTTCTGTCAATTCTTCATCTTTCAGTCGGCCATCTGCAACATTCCAACAGAATGACGACAATTTCATAACCATCACCATTTGAGCCCCCGTAATATCCACCACTCCTGGATTATTAGCGAATTGCCGAGCCAGCTGGTTCACTGACAGATGTGCCATCAAAAACACAAAGCCAACCCATGGCATAAAAGGACCTTGCACATATTTTGCGATGCAGTATGCCCCGATAGAACTAATAGCCAGTGTTCTTGTACCACCCCATAAATCGAAAAGCCCAAGGAGGTAAAACGAGGAAACCCTGATAGTTAACAAGTCAGCAAATTGGGAAGAGAGTGTGCCTTTTGAGTAGTCTACGCACCCAATGATGAAGAAATTCTTCAAATCAGGTCTCGAATCTGGAACTCGTTTCAAGAGTCCCGCGAATGGATATGATAGGAGGAAGGAAGTAATGAGTTTTACTGTTTGATGTTAGAGTGAAATCCAAATCCTTGATATCTAATACATATCGCTTGCTTTAATACATACGTTCATCAGTCGAGGCTCCCAAGATGCCTGCGGCATATTCGAAAGCTGCATACGATACTTGTCAGACTACGTCACATATTGTCAAGGTAAAGCCTTACGGGCGTCGATGTATGGTAACATTGTTGGCGATGGATAGATTCAATGTACTATAAATCGAAGGGAGTTGTTGAGGTGCTACCGTCTCTCCATCAGTGAAGTAAGAATCGTGTTTTGAGGGACGGAAAGACAGATAGTTGTGTCTTGTGAACTTCCTTGGTAATTATTTATTTATTCGTATTTGATCATGGCACATGTCACAATGATTCGTTTTCTGCCGGGCGGTGATAGGGTGAATCGAATTTAGTGGGATAAGGACGGGTCGTGCCTTGCTCCCGAGCCTTGCTTCCTCTGCCTTGTCCTAGCTTGACTTGTTAACACTTGCGAATAAATAAAGCTACTTCGTACATGCAAATCACCTACCCTTATTCGAAGCCTTGTTTAAGTAACAGACTACGGCGAATCTATACAGCATCTTCATACTTCGATAATCTACAATTCGTACGGCGATCCAATAAGGTTACGAAATAAGACATGCTTATGCGCCCTCGACATTAAAACCCTCCAAGCTATTCGACCTTAACCTCCAAATACCAAACAACATGGATGTCGTTCAAGCTGTATCGGGGTATATCTCGAAGATGGTGTCTGCAGGAGACGGAGCTTCTGGAACGCCATCTGCGAAGATGAAGGTCTTATTACTGGATAGTGATACCGTGTCCATTGTCTCTACTGCGATTACACAATCTGCGCTTTTGAACCATGAAATATACCTCATAGATCGGCTGGATAACCAGAATAGGGAGAAAATGCGCCATCTGAAATGTCTGTGTTTCGTTCGACCGTCGGCAGAGTCTATACAATTCCTAATTGACGAATTTCGAGATCCCAAATATGGTGAATACAATGTGTACTTCAGTAATGTTGTGAAGAAGTCATCCCTGGAGCGATTGGCAGAAGCAGATGATCATGAAGTGGTCAAGCTAGTTCAAGAGCACTTTGCAGACTATATTGTAGTGAATCCAGATCTATTTACATTTGATCTTGGATTTCCGAAGCAACGAATATGGAGCTCAAATCCAGACATGTGGAATCCAGACGCATTACAACGTACAACCGAGGGGCTCATCGCGGTGTTGCTATCTTTAAAGAAGAAGCCACTTATTCGATACGAAAAGAACAGTTTGCTAGCAAAGAAGTTGGCTTCGGAAGTGCGATACCACATTGCTCAGGAAGATCAGTTATTTGACTTTAGGAAAGTGGATACTCCTCCGATCCTGTTAATTTTAGATCGACGGGACGACCCTATAACACCACTTTTGACACAATGGACATATCAAGCTATGGTCCACGAACTTCTAGGCATTAAGAATGGGCGAGTTGACCTTAGCGAGGTACCAGAAATCCGTCCCGAGTTGAAAGAAGTGGTTTTGTCGCAAGACCAGGATCCGTTCTTCAAGAAGAATATGTATCTCAACTTTGGTGATCTAGGTGGCAATATCAAAGATTATGTCGAGCAATATCAATCAAGAACCAAAAATAGCTCGAATATTGAATCCATAGCTGATATGAAGCGCTTCATCGAAGAATACCCCGAGTTTCGCAAACTTTCTGGCAACGTCAGTAAGCATGTCACCCTTGTTGGTGAATTAAGTAGAATGGTTGGTTCAGATAATTTATTGGAAGTCAGTGAAGTCGAGCAGAGCTTGGCATGTAACGATGCTCATGCCAGTGATCTCAAAGTAAGTTCGCAGCTCTCGCTTGACGCTACCTCTCGTTTACTAACAAGCACTGTAGAATGTACAGAGATTAATTCAGTCTCCCACTGTTACCCCCGACAACAAGCTGAGATTGGTTGCCCTGTACTCGCTTAGATACGAGAAACACCCGTCGAATGCATTACCGATTCTTGTCGATCTCCTTGGCGCAGCCGGAAACGTCCCTCAAAGACGTATAGATCTGGTAGCTAAGCTCCTCATCTACCATTCTTCTTTGCAACTGAACCAATCGACGGGAGGTATTACCGATATGTTCGAATCCTCAAACATATTTTCTGGGGCCCGTGACCGATTCAAGGGGCTAAAGGGTGTAGAAAATGTCTACACGCAGCATTCACCACGACTCGAGCTAACAATTCAAGATCTAATCAAAGGAAAATTGCGTGATCAGCAATATCCTTTCGTTGAAGGTGGGGGGACAACTCGAGATAAGCCTCAGGATATTGTTATTTTCATTATTGGTGGAGCCACTTTTGAAGAGGCAAAATGTATATCTCAAATAAATGCTTCTTCGCCAGGTGTTAGAGTGGTCTTGGGAGGTACCTCGATTCATAACAGCACGACGTTTTTGGAGGAAATGGAAGATGCTGTATCCTTGTGGCCTGAACCTGCTCCATCAACTGCTGCTGGGAGGTTACGAAAAGAAACAGGAAGACGTTGAACGAGGAGGAAGCTCAAAATTCTTAGTGATGAGTTGGATATCACTTTTACTAGAGGGGTCCGCGCGATCAATTACCGCATTTCGATGCAAGAAAGTCATCCTCTAGCCCTTGAAAATACTTTCTGACAGGAAGCATCGTCATAAAAGATAACTTCGTTGTCATTGGAGACATTTGTCGAAAGGACAGAATCTTCAAACATACGGGGTCTTTTTGAGACACTGCTTAGTGCTGTTGACACTATTTTATGAGCTACATAATTGCCTGTCAAAACGCATATTTTATAGCTGCTGTCACGATGCGCTTTTATATGTAACCCCCCGCAAACCCTGAAAGTCACCTTCGGGATCAACGTGGGACTAGATAGGAATATATCTAGTCGGTTTCAGTTGAAAATGGCAATGTGGAATTAGTCGAGCTCTTTGTAAATCTGATAGGATGGAAACCTTATCCATATACATCGATCTACAAGTAGTGGAACCACGGGGCCAGAAATTTGAGGAAATGGGTCTGGTAGTCATTGGAGGTGACAAGAGAATGGTTGACTCCTTGTCTGGTCGGATTGATGTTCATCACAAATACCTTACCCAAATGCGTAGCTGGATATTGATCAGGCCGCTTAGATCTACGGACAGCAGCGCAGTGAAGAATAGTGCAAGCCAAGCTAGTCTTGATATCAATTTCATGTCAGTATGCAAACAGGGCATCGCTAAACTTTGGTCATTACAGAGTGCATTGCCACCTCGTTGGCAGAAGACTAATGGCGGCACAAATGAATGACAATTCATATATTCTACTAGACGTTACATGTACTACAGAAACGCTTTGCCCACAATATAAGTCTACTATTTCAGAAGTTTCACACTATGTTAGACGTAGATTTGTATTTGAAAATGTGTTATGGTTGTGAACTTGGTAGCAAAAAACACCGATGTCTTCTTAAATACTAAATCAAGAGACTTGCCCCTCACACCTGGGTTGGATGAGTTCTACGCTGTGCACACAGCCCCGTTGATCGGTGAGACTGTGATGAAAAAAAAAATTCTATGATGAATCACAATACTCTACACTCGACGAAACCTACCTAGCAATCCGACAACGAATGGACTCGAGTTGATCTCCACATCCATGAATAACAGCAAATCCATCCCATCTACCTAGGTAGTATTATCAAACAATTCTACAAGTTCTATATGCATTCATTTTAGAATCTAGAATTACGAGTAGATAAATTGTGGAATGCGTTGAAACTCTCATCTCATGGTCGGTCAAACAGCATACGCATTCCATCCATCCAGCTGGCTAGCTAGGTAGCTTTCCCCTATTTTTCCAAAAAAAAAAAATTCGTGTTATTTCTAGAGTCAATCTTCTAGCTAGGTAAGAGTACTAGTAGAGATATAGTGATAGTGAGTGTATCGTAAGCTGTAGAGAATGAATTGCATCAAATCAAAATCGTTTTTTTTTTTGGTATTGAGTATGTATGGTACAGGTTTGGAATGTGGTGCTACTGACTGGCTAGATTGGCGTGGAGACGTTGCTTGTAGAAATTGTAGTTGGGGGTTTGGTTGGGATGATGGGAGAAAGGATGTGTGTCTGGGTAGGTAGGTAGGTACTTTAGGTTTGTGGATGTGTGGTGTTTTGTTGGTGGAAGAAGATTATTGATGTTGTTTATCTCTTTATATATGAATATAAAGAATAATCGTAATTTCGAATCACAAGTCAGAAGTCAAAAGTCAGAAGGTTCAAAATTCAAATGATTGATGCACGATTCTATTCTTCAGTATCCATCATCCAAGATCTTCGCATCCAATAGCAAAATTCAAACCCCCAGATCATACTAAATCCATACATCTTTTCTCTTTTGAGATTCTCAAAACAGGAGCAAATAAAAAAAGTAAACATTACTCTCAATAGCTAGATAATCCTACAGTATGTACAACCTCCACCAATACTTTTTACTGGCTCTTCTGCTTCCTCCTCTTTTCTTCCACTTTATATCTAAATCCATGGGATACAAGCATATAATTACCAAAGAACTCTTCTGCGAAATCGTCGAATTTTACGTAGTCAGCACCGAGTCGATAGGCGGCTGCAATTCCTGACACAAGGGCTAATTCGTGCATATTCTGAAGATTTGTTAGCATTAGGATTTTTACTTGATATTTCCCTTTCCTCGGTTTAAAGCTTAATTCTTTCTAGAGGGAAGGAAATGAAATTAAGGGAGAAGAAAAAAAAAACATACCACAAGCGTCCAACTTCCTGCAAACCACGTTTGATTCTTGCCATTGATGAACATCATCCCAGGTACAACCCTGGCATAATGTTGCCAGCGATGACCAAGTTGATGCCACCATTTTTTCTCAATCACTTTATCTGGAGAAATCTCATCGATGGTCCAGAAATCGCGGTTCGAGGCGTCGAGGAAGATAGATTGGAAGACGTGGCGATCATATGGAACGGGTGCAGTTTCTGCGTTGTGGTCTTGACGGAATTGATGTTGGTAGTTTGTGCAGCTGGAGAGGTGTGTTAGTCTTGGAGAGGGGGAAAATAGAATGGGAAAGGGGGTAGAGCGTACTCAAAAGACATTTCGATTTTTTTAGGGTCATGTGCATAGGATTTGGTGTAGTACATGGGTCGAAAACCACTAGGTTCATTGTCAACACCACGTCGTTGCCCTTTTGAAAAAGCTATTTGGTCTTTTTGGGCCTGGGATTTAGGATCGGCGCAGAGGGAGGGGTCGAATTCGGTTTCGTAGTGTTTGCGGAAGTATTCATGGTCGGAGCTGAGAAGTTGTCAGTATCTTCACGGGGAGTATCGGCGAGGATGAGCTGAAAAAGAAAAACGAGAGGGAAAATCTTACTGGGTCACTGTTATGTCATCGTAGAATCTAATATGATGATTAGCTTACAAGCTTCTACATCGCCCGCAGTGTAAATGTAATAACTTACCTGGCTCCCCCAAGCACTAGTTTCTCCTTAAAAGTGGCAGTTTTTCCCAGGATTTTCAGTGCATCATCAGCTAATACACACATGACCAATTCATCAAATGTTTCAGATTTGGAAGTTGGCCCAGTGTGTTCCCCTTTTCTGTCATTTGCATCGGGATTAAACGGTCTCGTGGTCATCACAACACCCTTCTCACTACGTTGAATAATCTCCGTGACATCAGTGTTGAGACGAATATCCACACCTTTCGATTCCAGATCCTTTCTCCAATCTTCGTAAAAGTTGTGAAGATTAGGGAAAGTTAACATTTGAGGTAAGTTCGGAAGAAGTGTATCTGGATCATAGTCCCAGAGCTTCATATTCTTGTCGTCAAACAAACGCTCCAAGATCGCGCACGATACATTGGCAGTCTGGTTACCGGTACCAAGAAACAGAGCAATGAGAGGATACACCATTTTATCTCCAAAGTCCTTGCTGAAGAAGAACATCTTGAGCATAATTCGGATAGGTATAACCCCCATTGCAGGCATTAGCCACTTGATAATCTTCAACACCTTGCCGAATTTCTTGATATCGCTCGAGAAGCGTTCGACCAGAGGACTAGGGAAACAATTCGTCCAGAATCCATCTTCACCTTTCCCAAATGCGACTTGAAGTTTGATGCCTTGAGCTTCGTGACCGTATTGTTTGAAGAAGTGGCAAGTATGCTTGAAGATTGGCGAACCACCTTGGACACCATCGTTCATCCAGTCGGTGCCAAATTTCTCTTTGTCGAGGGCTATCGAGGTTGCTTGGCCTCCGGTTACACCCATTCTTTCGATCATGGTAACTTTGAATTTATCTGGATGCTGGGCGAGAGTGGCGGCACATGACATTCCTGCAGCGCCAGCTCCAATTATCACCACATGTTTTCTTTGACCGGAGGAGGCCATTGTGAAACGAAGTGGCAGGCGGGGCGGAAATCGATATGACAGCAAAGTGAAGAAGACTTTTTCTTTTGCAGTTTTGAGTCGATGATATAATTAAGATATTATGATTAAGAAACGACAAGAGAGTGATAGTTTTTAGAGAAATATGTGATCTTTGACGCACAGTACAATATGGTTTTGTCAAAGTCGTGGCATTGGCATTTGACTCGTAGACGTCATGATTTCAATACACTTTTCCCCACCCATTCCCAATTCCACCTTGGACATTAAGAGCCTCGAGAGCTTACTTCGCCTCACCTCCGAAGTTCTTGTCTATACGAAGAAAGACATTTCATTCATTTACCAGAATCTCCCTAGAAAATCAGTCAGTACATATATGGTATAGCTCTCTTCGATGATGGCAAGTTTTGGTCGTCCTGGGTCATTAGACTGATGGGTTTGAAGTCCCAGGAATGTTTAAATAAGCTCATCTTTCTTTGGTGTAAGCGTTACCTGTTATCATATGATTGCTTTTGTATTCCCCCGAACCGAGACTTTACCCATCTTCACCGTTCGGTTCAGAGAAATCGATTAATACCTCAGTTCACTCACAACCATAAGGGCATGAGATGTCAAATTGATAGATGTTTAGAATTTTATACACATTTGATATTTGACAAGGAGATCTTCTTGTCTTTTGCGGGTGTGCTTATCACAACCTAGGAATGCTTATAATAAGATAAGCTACTAGGTATGTATCATGCTGGTTGTGACACCCCCTCGCCCCATCTGCCCAGTCGGCTGGCCCCAATCAGCTAGTACCTTTTGAGATTTCTGCCGATCTTCTCACCGCCATATTTTCATATCAACTCGATTGGTAAGTAGTAACTTAAGTGAGTGGAACGTTGATCAATCTCTCAATCTCTCAATCTCCCATTCTCATATTGTCGCTGCGTAATTCCCATTCGATCGGGTTCTCGGGATATATGGATATCCAAATCAACCAATCTTACCCCTCTGATGATAAACGTGCATATCCAAACATGCGAATCACTTGGGTCTGGACTGTTGGCTGTTGCTCCAATCCTTATTTTCCAGCGTGGATGTCTCTGATTTTGCGGGGAAGATGCAGGAATCTTAGCACCGTTCACGAAAATGAAGCTTTCTGTCAGGAACCACCTTCCCAATTCGTCGCCCTAACCGTTGGAAGCTGCATAAGTGACGACTACTTCACAAGTTACAATCTACGGATTGACTGACCAATACAATCAAAGCCACGTGCTGTGTTGAGGTGGTTATCATGGAATGGCAGGCCTGACTCTAATAGAATAAGTATTGTGCATTTCTCTTCCCGCATGTTTCTTGATATACTCCCGTTGCGCCCTTCCTATTTGTATCTATTCTTCGTATAGAAAATGCATTTCCCAATAGCTTTGACTGCGCTATCACTACTGTCAGTCACATCAGCACACAAAGGTCACAAGCGACGATCCGTCCCGTCAAGTCCTCAAGCATTGAACAAGACGCTCACAAACACAATTCCAAATGCTGCTGGAGGTCCAATTCTTCACTACAATGGCACTGGGCCTGTGCCTTCTTACAACGAAACTTCTCCCGTCCCAGTACCATTGCCTACTTTAAGGTAAATTACTTATTCCTCTCGTGTTGCAGAACTAACAACCACTAGTAAACAGGAAATTGAAGATAACATCTTCAATGAGATTCAAGGAATTGTAAATGGAAATGGACTCACAACCGACTGCGCAAAATGTATTGCCGGCACCGAAGTAATGCATCTTGCAGCTATCACGCAACCTGTTGAGACGATTGTGAATCTTCTTATTCGTGCCTGTGAAACCTTTCCAAAGGTCTATGACAGTATCTACGCCGAGACCTGTTATGAAGAATACTCCGGAATTGGGGGAACTGGTCCGTATCTTGCTCAACTATTTGCAAAAATGAGCATGGCGACCGATGATATGCAAGGTTACTGTTTCTATGTATGGGATACTTGCAGTTTACCCCCGACGATTCCCATCGACGAATCTGCATATTTCAAACCTAAACCAGCAAATAAGACAACAGCTCCTTCGCCATCTAGTAAGTTATAACGCCTTGGTTGATTATAAGTAAACTAATTCTGACATATCAACAGACCAAACTATAGATGTTCTACATCTCTCCGATTGGCATTTAGATTCAAGATATGACATTGGCAGTGAAGCTAATTGCTCACAGTACATGTGCTGCAGACCATATTCCACTAACACTGACCTTGATACGACGAGTGACAACCCGTCTACACCTGCGTCTCGTTTTGGATACTTCTATTGCGATTCCCCTCCTGACTTGGCTCTCTCTGCATTTTCAACTATGGACCAATTTATCAACAGATCTGATGTGGCATTTACAATATTTACAGGTGACATTGTAAGCCACGATAATGACGACCAAATAAGTCGAGCCTATGTAGAGTATGAAGAGACGGTTACGTACCAAACTTTCAAGGCTCAAATGAAGAACAGTCCCATCTATGCGACCTTGGGAAACCATGATTCTCTACCGGAGGCTCTGAACACTCCAAATTCCATCAATAATTCTACGGGTCAATCTAATGTGTTCTCTTGGAATTATAATCTGTTATCTAGCTTATGGCTGAATAATGGATGGATTGATAGTGAAGCGGCTCAGTATGCATCAAACCACTATGGTGCATATGCTACGGTCACATCTCAAGGCTTGAAGATTATTTCTATCAACACGGATTTTTGGTATACAGCCAATATCTTCAACTTCTTCAACATGACAAATCCAGACACCTCTGGCATTCTCACATTCCTTGCCAACGAGCTTCAAAAATCGGAAGATATTGATCAACGCGTTTGGATTATCGGACATGTTCTTCCGGGATATGACGGTACAAATGCTCTTCCCAATCCTACAGCCTTGTTCTACAGTATTGTTGCTCGATTCTCTCCATCAACAATCGCGGGAATATTCTTTGGTCATACACACGAGGATCAGCTCATGATCTATTATGATTTCCTACCCAACTCGACAATTTCTAGCAATACATCGTCGATCATTCGTAATACCACGTTGGTGGATTACAATAACCCTATTCAAGTTGCATACATAGGGCCTTCTATTACGCCTCTTACTGGACTCAATGCTGGATGGGTTCATCTCCAGGTCGACGCTTCAACTTTCTCAGTCGTCAATTCTCAAACCTACTTCGCCAATATGTCCAACGCCAACTCCTGGACAACACCAAAATGGGAGCTTGAGTATGATACGCGCCAAGTATATGATCCAAGTACCACTTGGCCCATTAATGCTCCCTTGGACGGCGCTTTCTGGCATGGAGTGACTGAGGATATGTTGGCAAACAACACTTTAGTAGAAGTTTATAATTTCCTGGAGACGAAAAGTTCCGCAATGACGGAAAGCTGTAGCACAGCGGCTTGCGCGAAGCAAAAGGTTTGTTATCTGAGAAGTGGAAGTGCAACGTTAGGTTACGCTTGTCCCAATAGCGACGGGCCTTTTTGAATGCAGTATTAATACATAAAGAGTGGCCATAAGCAAATACAATGCAAATGCAAAAGAATTTAGACCTAGACTATGCTTGTGTAAAAATCTGTGTTACCAATTAAGATTGGGTCTTCATAGACCTGTGCGTAAAAAGTTGCGACCTGTCACCTTGGGAAACCAATAGTTACCTAGGTAGCCAACGGTATCGGATTCTCACGGTCAGCATTGCACAAATGCATAGCGTCATCGAATCTCAAGTCATATTTAAGATGACGAGCATGCCATCGATTCACAAATCTCCATCATATGAGAGTTTTCACGAAGATCTTCACAGCAATATCATGGTTGCTGTACCTCTCTACTTTCACTTGATGTTACTCCTAGAGAACCAGGTTTATTTTCTTGTCCTTTGATAGATATAGAAATTCTGCTAGAAACGTCATCGATTTCTCATAGAAACATTCATTTGAGATCTCTCAAAAAAACAAATCGCTACAGAGTGTATCTACAAGTAATACTTCTAATCGACTCTGAAGGAAGAAGGTGCGATGTAATTGGAGTGAACAGCGAGAACCCCTAACTAATAACTACCTAGTTAGCGCTAGCATAAAGCACATCAGCGCTAAAATCAACACTAAGGTTAATTCGTAGAGTATTCCCATGTCTTTCAGATCAGATAAGCATCGTATTACTTAAGCAAGGGGTCCTAGCTGGTGAGCATCTCGAACTCATACACACTTGAATCTCCAAATTCCTCATACATTTTTTCCCATATATTCAACAATCACATCTTATATGTATGTCCTCATAACAAAACAAACCGAGGATAATAAGGAGACATAGATCCATTCATACCATATCATGTCTCCGCAACGCCCCGTAATCAATGAACGTGAACCCCTCCTCGCGCCTCTCACGGAACCTACAGAGGTTCGCGATGCGTTGATCACGGGATCGCAGGTTTATAAAGATATTGGGAATGGGACAATTGGTGCGGAAGACTCGAGTCGAGATGCAGAGGGGAGAGAAGGAGATAATGGAGATGAAGATGAAGATGATGATACACCGCTCCCTCTCGGACAAATTCTAGGGCTTTGCTATATTCGATTGGTAGAACCGGTAGCGTTTTTCTCGGTCTTTGCGTTTCTGAATCAGATGCTGTGGGAGATTGGGGATATTGGGAAGGGGGATGTGGGGTTTTACTCGGGGTTGATTGTGAGTTTTCTGCTTGTTTTGTTTTGTTCTTTTTTGAGGGGGTAATTGGGATGGGGAGACATGGAAAGGGAAAGGAAGTTGCAAAATGGGAGAGGAGGGAGAAGATTGCCGTGGATATATTATATGCTTTATAAGAAAAACTAAGAAAAGCTAACTAAGAACAGGAATCCCTATTCTCGGTCACAGAAATGATCCTCATGGTCCACTGGGGCCGCGCCTCCGATAAATTCGGCCGCAAACCCATCATGATCATTTCGCTGCTAGGCATCTCGTTCGCAACAGGTATTTTCGGGTTCGGCAGGAGTATTGGACAATTAATCATCTTTCGATGTATTGCCGGACTGTTCGCAGGAACAATCGTGTGAGTGGCTTTGGCTTTCGTATTCATCTAACCGTGTCTGGAAGTTCTCGAACCAATCTAATAGATAAAAGGACGATTCGAACAATGATCTCCGAAAACAGCACCAAGAAAACTCAAGCGAGAGCGTTTAGTTATTTTTCCGTGGCGGGCAATCTGGGGATTCTGGTGGGACCGTTGATTGGTAATTGAAGCTACCCCAAGTGTCTAGATAGATACGTGAGAACTCGACGGAAAGACTAACATTCTCAAGGCGGTGCCATGTCCGAACCCGCGAAACAGTATCCGTCTCTTTTTGGCGGCGTAAAGTTTTTCGAGGAATTCCCCTTTGCGCTTCCTACTATTTGCACA